GGGCGTTGGACTTTTGCGGCCGGGGTTTAAGGGCAAGACAGCGCGGTGGGTGCTTAAGCGCGGGTGCCAGGGACCAAATGGACAGCCTGGTTGTGCAGGGGGGGGGGGGGGGGGGAGGGGGAGGGGGGGGGGGGGGGGAGTGCATCCTAGGCATTGCATTAGCGAATCCAATCTAATGGTTGGAGTGTCTGTTGAGAGGCTGCTGACGTAAGACAGATATATTACACCTACACACTTTACATGCTTTTGGTTAATACATCTCACGATTACATAAACCACAGATGCTCACATCCATGTGGATGTGCAGGGCTGGTGCTGGAGATCAGAGCTGCTGTGATCCACTTGAACCAACCAATGAACCTGTTCAATTCAATGGTGAACAGACATTTTTGGTGTACCTTAAAGAGGTGGCTCTGGACCAATTGCAATTAGTACAGTGTTAGGACCCCCACCTTCAATACAAATCAGCTGTCAGGTTGAGTCCAGGAGTCAAACTGTATACAATCACATTAGAGTGTGACCTAAAGAGAATTTCAGACAGTGTCCTAACTTTGGGACCTTTGTCTTTATGATTTGCCGACCAAACAGGTTGGTAAACTAAAATCTCTATAATTGCCAGCAGTTGTCTGTTTCAGAGCCAGACCTATGTTGTGAATACAGACTAATGTGACTGGTGGTTAACCATGGCAACTAAATCAAACCAGCGCCCACTCTGCGTCAGTGTCACACAGTCCAGAACACCCTTGTTTTTGCCTGACTCGGAGCAAACTGAAGTTAAGAAAAATGACTGTGAGTCTTTTATCAGACAGGAAAGAAAAAAACATCCAAAACTACTCTTAACCCAACTTGTATCACTGCTTCATTATCACAAAGCCGGACCCTTCCCTTCCTGGGCCTGGCTCCCAGGCTCTCTTTCTCCCCTAACCACAAGTTTTCTCTCAGCAGTGCTCTGTCTACATTTCCAAAAAGCTGCAGCACGCACAGGGGTGGAGTTATTTTTACTCAGCTTACTGTATCCTGTCTCACCCCCGTCTAGGATGGCTGCCAGCACAACAACCCCCTCAGCCCAGAGTGTGGGTGAAATGAGACGCGTGTAAAGCTATCTGTCTATGACAAACTTGTATGCGTTGCCTTCGTTTTACAGCTGCAGTGGCTCTCGTCTCGGTGGAAATAATCAAATATTGGACGTGCCTTATTGTAGACTGTACTTTTAGCTGTTCTACACAACATATAGTTGTCCTGGTTCTATAGGGGAGCGACAATAGTGCTTTTAGGTCATTGTCACATTGCTGGATGATATCCTGCCTTGTCTCTATCAGACTACATGTGGTGGAAACATTTCATTCACATACCAACAACTGGGTAGAATAAGACTTTTGTTGGTTGGTTTTTACATCCATAATTACATAATACCCGGCAGTTACATCTAGTACTTGTACTAAGATAGGATGTCATCATGTTAATGTACCCTGGCACACTGCAGGAGGTTTTTTTTGTTGCTGTCCTGACTCAGAAACTTCACGATCTCGTCATGTTTCCTGCTGCATTCACACGCAGGACTCTCCTCCACAGGCCCAGTTTGGCATCTTCTGACATACAACCTGCTGTCTCGGTCTCTGTCTATTTCTGTGTGACGCTCCAAAAGCTCCCAGGGTTAACGTCTGGAGGTCAGAGATGGAAAGGAATGACGTGATGACTAGTTCTTTTGAATGACTTCATATTTAACTTTAACTTCTGATGAAAACATGATCTAAATTCTTGGCTAAAGAAATAATAGTACTACACTCTGAACCAAGTTATAAATATAAATATAAATATATATAAATATAACCAAGTTATATTTACTGTTGTAAATATAATAATAGGTTATGAAATTACTCTTATCTGTGAACATAACAGATATGTCTACATCATGTTGCGCTTAAAAAATGAACAGTATGATAGTGTTATTAATTTAACTAAAGTCAGATTACTGAAACTGCTGCTGAACTACTGTGTCTCGTGTCTGGTCTGATAAAGTGAGAGAGAGAGTTAATCAGGCTAAATAAATACATCATTAATGTTACTGCAGGACTTCAATCAACAATAGGTCTATTACTGATTCCCCACAGACTTTCTCTAACTCGCATTCTATTAGCGCTGCTCAGAGCATCAGCAGAAATCAATTCAATAATGATCCAAACACTGATCAATATTTGTCATGGTTAACAGCTCAACTCACATTAGTGATTCCCTCAGCCTTGGCAGCCACATAGTAAATTTTTTTTTTTTTAAAAAAAAACTAAAAAGACATCTCTTTTCCAAGGTCTGACTTCAAAAGCCATTTGGAGATCTGGTACCAGGTCATGACGGCACGTCTAAGATAGAACTATGGAAAACTATTGAAGTTACTCCAGGTCAGATTATCTTCCTCTAACAATGAGGGCAAATCCAGGGTCAAACATGACATATCTACTTTTGAATAATTAAAAAATTTAAAAAAAATGAAATCATAGCAGCAAACAGGAAAGGTTGGTCAGAGACCTTCACCTAATTTTCAACATACAACAGGTTTGTGAAGTGAGGGGATAGCTTGCTTCCTCTCTTGCATCTCTAATACTACAGTCAGTTCCCTGACTATAATTCTGTTTCAGGGAAGAGGAAGCTGAAGCTAAGATGTCCTGACCTTGAATGTACTTCACATTTATCCAAATGGAAAATGACAAGTTTTTTTATATATATATATATAGAATATGTAATACATTTACATCATAAATACTGGCTATGAGAATTAAATAACTCTTTGTTAATGTTGTCAACTGAAGGAAATTGGTACAGAAAACCAGTATATGGCCAAAATGTTGCAGCATTAGTGCTCATTTGTAAGACCCTCGGTGTTAAAGCCAGTTATATGCTCTGCATTTGACTAATGTGATTGGTTAAAATGTGTCCCTGATGCACGGACGTGCAGAGGCACAGCAAGGCCTATGGAGAGACACTCCACAAGTTAACAGATAACACATCTCAGTTTGACTCACACCGACGTACTGAGATGCACTGCTGATAGGGCTGCTGCACTGTGAACAACACACACACACACACACTCATTCAGTCGACCAAACTAAACAACAGTGTGTGCGAAAGATTGAGCAATTGTTTCATTCTGCTGCTGCTGTTTTTCACTGGGCCGGCAGTGACTGCACTGCTAATTTAGTCAAGCCCAACTCCCATCAGAGTCACAGGAGGGTCACGCACATATCTGTGTCGGTGCAGGATGGTATGTGTGTGTCTGCATGTTTAAAATCCCAGAGGTGAAAGTGAGGATCAGAAAGGCATAGCAGCGGGACAGTGTGAGAGCCTTTTCAAAAGGCTGCAGGATTGTCTAATGTTAAAGACTGCAAACAAAGTGATCTTCAATCCCAGACATTAACATTGGCTCTCTGAGAAATGATATCAGCTTTGTGAATTTTGCAACGTGTGCAGTCAAACGAACAACCTTAAATCCCACATTTGAAGCTAACCACTAACTAACCACTATTATCAGCACATTGAAGTCAACTATTCTTAAGTTTGGTGCATTTAAACAAAAACACACATTGTTGTTAGTTGTTCCCCACTTTCACAATGGTCTGCTGACCTAAAACAGTAGTTTAACTGACTTACAAATTCCTGGGGGCCTAACACACATTAGCTGATTATTCCAGTCTAAGGAGAAAAAACAACAAAGGAACTATTTGATCTTTTTTCGACTCCTTTGGCTTTTAGAGATTATGAACACATACCCTTCAGGGCCTCATATCCTTTCTCATTCATTCCAGCTCTGATAATATATCAGCCAAACACCCTCTTAGGTTACACAACATCAAGAAAAAAAAAAGAAAAGAAAAAAACAAGAAAAAAACAGAAAGTCCGGCTTCTTTCACACGCAAACATTTTATACAGAGAACGTTTAAAAAAAGTCAGTTTTTGTCACAGTCTAATATCTTATTGTCCTTTAAGAACCACCATTACCCCACGCCTAACCCCATTTTCTGCACTCATACAATAACACATTTGTAGCTCTTTGTGTGTTCATTTGGCAGGATCCTCGCTTTGGCTCAACTCTATATTGATGCTACCTCTGCCAAGAAGCTTGGTGGTAAAACCTAAAAGTTAAAAAAGGGGACAAAACAAGAGAGATGGGGTGAAACTGAAATGATTCATTCATTCAATTACTGAACTTCAACCTCACATCCAGTTTGGATTTTCATGTTGAGCACTGGAACCGATGCTTATTGACATGAATTAGAATTATTGCTTTTTTTTGGCTTTAAATAGTTGCAGCCAAGCTGTGATACATCCTTAGCTGTGCTAGTACTATCTTTACCTCTGAAGGCTGTAGTTAATTTAGATAAGTCCATGTGACGATGAGCTCTGAATAAAACACAGAATCATAACATTAGAGAGCAAGGGAAAAATGATAAAAAATATTAAAAAATTACGAGAATGTTGAGAAAATAATCCTTAGCTTGAAGTGCTGCAGGAAAATAAAACTTGACTGCTTCTCCTAATTTAAGAACAATAACTAGAAACAAAAGCCCAAAAATGCTTAATGATTTAGTAGCTTATCAATGAATTTTTAAGATTTCTGAATAAAAAACAGTTTTCAAACTAAGGAAGTAATGTGCAGCAGATCTGCAGGTGAAGAATAACAATGTGTAGCTGTGAGCGTGATTAAATTTAGAAGGTTAACAGACTGACATAAAATGTGTCAAAACCATCATCAGGTTAACAAGCAGGAACAGGTTCCAAGGTTTAATGGTGGCACAGACAAATGAGCATTGTATTACTACTCTGACACTGGTAAAGAAGGGTGTATTTTAGAGGTCACAAATACTTAATATAGCTCATCAGCAACATAAGGGTTTTCTGCTGTAGGTTTAAAGTAAAAAGTCAGACCAGGTGAACTGCTTCGGTTTTGAAGGCATCTCTGTAGAAATGGAAGTTTTAAAATCATAGGCTATTTTTCACTCTGTCCAGGACTAATTATTGTGCCAATAATAATTCCATTTAGGCTAAAATATGCAGTAAAACAAAATGCTATCAGTCAAAGGACCTTGGTAGCATACACAAGAATAGTGATTGTTATTTATGACACCCTCTCATATATATACATTCATATATTCATATGTTCAGTCCTTGTCATGATTTATCATTTATTTTCCTCTAAATTAGTGGTCTAGAACTCAAATGAGCTGAGGGCCAGTGTTCAGTGCCAGAAAAAATTCTCAGATATTTAAAAAAACATAGGTTTAATCCTATAAATGCTGCGCAATACAACAATGCAAATTAGTAAAACAAATGAATGAACATACAAAAAACTGTACTCTACATCAGGGATCCAATGAGGTGTAGGTCATCGCGGTAGATCATCTGCGATCAGCGCACCCTGTCCTGACCTTACAGCTCCTGTGAAGCTACAATAACCATCTCTGTGTTCTAGTGTCATGTGTCCATGAATCTTCTCTGGACTCTTTCACTTACTCTCCTGCCTGACGGCTGCATCTGAAACATGTTTGTACATTTTTAGCCATTATTTCGCCTCATCAAACGTCTAGACAATCCTAACATTACCATATTACATTAATGTTACATAACCTGACCTCAGTGGTTCAAAACACTGACAAACAGCCGAGGTGACCGGCTTAACAGATATGAGAGGAATTCCAACAATCAGTAACACACTAGCTAATCGCCTAGCTACGTACGGGCATACAACACAACAGCATTCTGAAGCAAGTAATAGATTTTACAACAATATAATAACTCAGTAAAAGACAGACAGACTGATAAGTCAACTAAGTTTGTTTACTTTCTGTCTGACCTAGTTATCTGGTGTGCCAACCCAGAGGCACACAATCACCCAAATGTATTCTCCAAACGTCTCGGTGTCTCGCTGCCATGTCTCAAAATAAAAGCAGTCGGACGACAAGCTAACAGGAAAATGACAGAATGTGTACGTGCTCGGGGCCTGGTGCAAGTTGCAGCAGTCCTTCAAACGCCACCGACACGGTGACACAACAAAACACAGCCTGCAAACAGAATTTAATTAATGTACGTTGGGCGTAGCTTCTGAACTGTAGTCACACACACAGGTGCACACATGTCTGGCAGACTGTGTGTAGACTGAGCCGCTGAAATAACAAAGGTATGCATGCAAACACACAGACACACACACACACAGGGCCAAAATTCCTCTGTAAACAAATACACAGGAAAGACGTCTGGAATCAGGATTGCCAAAAGCACAAAAAAAAAAAAAAAAAAAATCAGTTACCTATGTAATGGACAACACATGTCTGGCCCTTCTTTGGAAATGTTCTTCCTGTGTGGAGAAAAACAAGTATTACTGAGTCTGTGACAGTCTCACTCACTGTCTGTCAGTCTGTCTGTCTGTCAGTCAGACTAATCTTGAGCATTAACAGTGACTGAGAGGTGTATCCCTGCAGGAATGTCATAGAGCTTCATGTGACAGACAAAGATTAGTCACACAAACCCTTGTTTGTGTTAACCTCACATTAACTTTGACCTGAACTACTTTCGAAAGTTTAATGAAAAAACAAACCACTCTGGTGGTTTTTAATAAAGTTAACTTATTCTCATGGACTATATAGATATTCCATATAGGTTTATCACACATAACCTAATACCTTTCAAAGGAATCTTTATTATTAGTCAATTGCATCGTTCGTAGTTCAGTCCTTAATCAAGTTGGGAGTTTTCTAGTTAGAATGTCATGATGTCCTGAATAACCCTGCAGAAATATGAACTTCACTAAAATACGACGACATTACCTACTGTACTATCGAAAAAATACATTATTTTAGTGCAATTCCTAGCTTTATACTCTTTGCATTTCGCTATATAATATATTTTAAATATAAACGACATTCCAGGAGAAGTACGGAGCCCCAGCATTCACTACCTCCGCAGTAAAAGCGCATACAAGCGGACACCAGGACTTACCGTCACCCGGAGATATTGTCTCGACATCAACGCCCATGTTTGTGCTTCTTCTGAGATTAGCTGTGAAACATGCAGCCTTAAAAAGCCCTTTCAACAACTAACGTTCCCCGTTTTGCGGCTACGAATCAGTCTATGCCTTCGGAAACCATGCATTCACTGCACACACAACACCGACCCGTAGCTGCTGCTACTGCAGCTAGTCTAGGGATGCCAGATCTGCAAGACATCAGCACAGAAACAAAAATCAATCCCAAAACAATGAATAAACCGAGCCTGGCTTTTATTTTAGCTCTTCAATGCTGCAGTTGTACTTTCCCAGGAAAATGTGTGACAATAAGTGACCTAGGACAAAAACTGCGTGCATGTTACTGCGTGCATAATATTAAATAATGACAGTTATCCAAGCTGCTTCACGGCAATACAAATAATACCAGTTGATTTACTTAGAATTTAACGTTACTTAGTTCCTCTTTTGAGATGGATCACAATGTACGTCTATTATGGTTTATGACAAGCACTTTCCGCGGAAAAACAAAGTAACTTGGCAACCTAAATTGACAACAAAGATATTTTACGTTTTTCAAAGTGGAGATCTACGACTCCAACTCGACTGCTGATGGTAGAGCGCCCCACAGCGCTGTTCGCGTGCATCTTCAACCATTGTCGTTTACCTACTTCCTGATTCTCTGTATACTGTTCTTTAAGTGACTCACTGCCTATACGCTTTTCAATTGCTAAGCGTTTGTGTTAAAAAAAGAACTGGAAAAGAACAAATACTAGTTACGTAGATAAACAATATTCAACTTTTTGGAACGACTCTTATTGTGCAAGGAATAGAGCTTCTATTTCCGGGTCAAGTGAATGCGTCACAACCGTGTTTCCTTATTTTTCTACCGGCCCAATGTGTTATTTAAGATTGAAGGTTTATATTGATTATTCGTGGGATACATAGTTTTCCGAAGGTATGTGCAATCTTCTAATAATATTTTATGTAGTTAGTCCTCTAATTAAAAGGGCAAATGAATGCATGCAAACTAAGAAGAATTGGGCTGGCATGGAGAAATAGAGTTTTTAAAAAGCTGTGCAGCATCATTGTCCAATCACAGACTAGCAACCACACAGCCCCCTTTAAGCTTCATCTTGAAAATCAAATGAAATTATAAATGCGTTCTAATAAATATATTTTGCCCAAATAATTGTCCTAAGGGCGATCTTTTATATTGAGTTATTTTGCTAAAACTAGCAGTCTTTTAGTAGGACTGAATATCACCTGACTCCAACACTGTCAGTAGTACTCTAGAAAGAAAATGTGAACTTTTCTGCTCAAGACACGTTGATGTCCCATCAATTAAATTGTAAATGCATTAATCTGTATCTTAATAATAAAAGTGGAGTTATCTGTTTACAAATGTACTCTCCCTTCATTAGGACAACGCTGTCATAAGACACTGCTGCTCCACACATCATGTTGTTAATGCCCACAGGTCGCGACAGGACCTCTCTGTTGTTAAGGTCATTTAGACATAAGCAGCTAAGTCGACGCAGCCTCTGCACAGGGAGAGGGGATTAAAGCATGTACTTGGAAGGAGACACGAGAGAGGCTTGTTTCTATTCTTATTCTGCACAGATAGCAGAAGCTACACAGGTGTTGGAACCATTCAGATCAGATACAGGTCACTTATCAATGTTAGCCTCCTGCAGCTGACTTTTGTTGTGTCTCTGCTTCTTTCTCTGCCAGGATGGATCTTGGTAAGGCAAAGCTGCCTATGACAGGTCTCAACACCCTGCACCAGGCCATCCACCCTGCGCATGGAATAGCATGGACGGATGGCAAGCAGGTCTGCCTGACATCGCTCTTCTTCATCGACGGTGAGGTGAAATTTGGGGACACCAACATTATTGGGAAGTTTGAGCATGTCTTTGGGCTTTTTTGGGGCCCCATTTGCTGCACTGACTCCCCTGCGCTACTGGCTGTTCAGCACAAGAAACACGTTACAGTCTGGCAGCTGCAGCTCAGCACCCTGGAGCAGAACAAGCTGCTGTGCACGCAGACCTGTGAGATGAGTGAGCCTTTCCCCCTGCTCTTCCAAGGCTGCGTGTGGCATCCTAAAATGGACATTCTGGCTGTGTTGACCAAGAGGGACACATCTGTTTTATTTTCCGTCAGAGTGGACAACAGGAGAGTGAAGGCAGACATCAAGGGCAGCGGATTGATCCACTGTGCATGCTGGACTAAAGATGGCACCCGCCTGGTCGTGGCCATAGGCAGCACGTTGCACTCCTACATCTGGAATGACATTCAGAAGAGCCTGGTCGCCTGCTCCTTCTGTCCCATCTTTGATGTTGGAGGTCATATCTGTGCCATTGAGTCAACACGTGAGGCACAGGTAGCTGTGGCCACAGAGCTACCGCTGGACAAAATCTGTGGTTTAAATGCAGGTGTTGAGATTGAAATGTCACCGGAGTCGGTGTCACCGCAGGGTCGCAACTTAAATGTCATCACTGCGGATGATGGAGGCTTTCTGGATTCAAGAAGGAAATCCTTTGAAACAGACAGATCCTCTGTCCCCAGCTCAGGACCACTGGATCTTACACAACTTCTGTCCAAGCACCGTCGCTCTGACCCCAGCCCACTATTCCATCTAAAACGCAGGGACACTTTAACAGGCTCTGGCCAGGACTCCTCACACCTCATTCTGGTCACATATGAGCGCAAAGTCACCACCACCCGGAAAGTCAGCATCCCTGGCATCCTGGTTCCAGACATAGTGACGTTCGACCCACGTGGCTCCACAGTTGCGGTGGCTTCTAACTCCTGCAACATGGTGCTCGTGTACTGCATCACAGCGTCGGCAATGCCAAACATTCAGCAGATCTCCCTGCAGAAAAACGAGAGGCCGAAGGGAGTCTGTTTCCTCCGGGACAAGATGCTGCTGCTCATGATTGGCAGACAGAAGAGCAGTGA